GTGCGTGTAAGGCGTGACATAAGTGAATGCTGCGTTTAGACTCTGGTCCCAGTCCTGAGATAGCTCATTACATACGAGCAAATATTCTGGAAAAAAAAATCCAAAATCGCAAACACTTCTGGTCTCAAGCATTTAGGACAAGGGATGCCCGACCTGTGCACCTTTTGATCAGCAAGAGGAATTTGCCCTGTTAGGTATTCACACAGTCGCAAAGTGACCAGCGGCCCGGGGATACGCATCGCAATACTGTGGGCAACACCTGAAGCTCACACGCGGCCTAAATGCCCATCAGCCGAGAGCTGCCTCCCAAAGTCACGGCGCGGCCTTCCCGGGGACCAGCAGCCGTCACAGGGAGGGGCGGGCTCACGTGCCCTGCTCGGAACTAACTCAGGGGGTCGCTTTTCCATCTTGTTCCCTATTCTTGTTTTCTAATAAGAGGGCATTCCTTTGTTTGGTTTTGGCTTGGGAGTTTTTGTTTGTTTTCTGTCAAGAGAATTTATTACTAAAAATAAAGCAGCTGAAGTCACTCCCATGGTAAACTGTCATCTCAGAGACCTCCATGACGACACGTTCACTTACTATCTCCTCCACCCTGACGCACCTGACCTAAGTTTTAAGCCACCCAGTCCAGGACTCGAACCACTCGACTACATGGGAGTACAGCAACACAACCATTACCCCACCTGCTGGACCCCATATGTTCTAAATGTTAGTGTGAATTAAAAGATTCGTCCTGATTGGGCCTGCGTGTGACGTAGAGGTGAAGGTGGTTGTATCCCACAAGTTCCAGACCTGGCAGCTTGAAAATCATGCCAGGAGTAGTGTGTGTGTGTGCCCAGATAACGAGAGGGGAATGGAGAAGATACCGCAGCATGGCCATCCCCCCAGGGGTGACTTATAGCTTTCCCTCTCTCTCTCTTTCTCCCCCTCTCTCTCTGGTGAGTCCATGCGCTGTGGAAACTGGAGGGGAAAAACTCAGCCTGATGAAAACGCTGTGATCTGATCCCTTCTCATTCATCTGCAGAGGCGTTCTTGACAGGGTCTTGCTGCTGCGACCCTTTGCCCAGCCTCCTGTCCACATGGGATTGCAGGTGCTGCTGTGACCGTCTGCTCAAGTTGGTCCAGATCCACCTTGCCCGGCCTTGCAGAGCCGTGCTCTCTTGCCGGGCCGTGGCAGCTGGGCCTCAGTGGTTTCTTTTTCTTGTTTTTTGGCGTTTTGCTTTCGTTTTGTTTTTGATTGTTGATATAGGGCGTGGGCGCTTGCCAGAGAGACAGAAGGACAAAAGTAAGAAGTCACCCCCTCCCCCCAGGGTGGTTGGCCACACAGCAATCCCTTCTCCATTCTCCTCTCAGGATCTTGGGCACGCACGCACATGAACCCAGCACGAGTTTTTTGTTTTGTTTTTGTTTTTGTTTTTGAGAGGTTTTTGCTATAGGGCGCATGCGCTCGCCAGAAAGAGAGAGAGACAGAGAGATAGAAAATGAGAAATCACTGGGGACCAGCAGGCTACATGGTGGTTAAGGCGCTGGACACTCCCACATGGCCGACCACGGTTCGAATACCAGACCTGGTGTCTTGCTTTCTCACTTTCCCTCTGTGTGTGTGTGTGTGTGTATCTCTCTCTGTCAAATTAAAATAAATGAATGAATAAATAAAATTAAATTAATAATTTTTTTTTAAAAATAAAAGAAAATGAGAAATCACTCCCCAGGGGGGATGGCCACGCCGCAATCCCTTCTCCTCCATTCTCCTCTTGGGATCTTGGGGA